GCCAGGAATCAAAAACCCAGATCTCCCACACAGAAAGCCAGAATTCTACCACTGAACCACCAATGTCCCCTCCCCCCACCCAAGGCATACAGTGAGTTAACGCTAAAGCCAGGATTTTCATCCAGGGTGCCTTGCTCTGAAGCCTATGTTCTTCTCTCCATCCCACACTGTCCCTAGAAAGCACAACCTCCCAGAAAGTCCTTCCCTTGAGCAAGAAACCACTCCCCCCCCCCACCATGACCCCCAATCCCTGGGCTGTATTTCATTATCATCAGCATCTCCTGGACTTTGTGCTAGCCGTTTCACCTCCCCAGTAAGTCCGTCCCAGTAGATACCCCCTGCTCTAAATAGCACCCTCCATGATCTGCAAACATTACAAGGACATCAAAACAAAGCTATCAGCTGGATGCCTAACTTTAGCAGCCAGTCCAAACTCTTTTGTTTGATTCTCAGACAGCTTATTGACTAGGTGATGGGGTCAGAAGTTGTCTTTTAGCCAACCCTGTTCCAGGGCTCAGCACTCTTGTTGAAAAAACACCATCAGGGCAAGAAGAAAAAGTCCACCTATTGAAGATTTCAGATGTACAGACTTTTAATAAGCACAACGTACTTACCTGCCTGCAACCTGTGGGGGTGTGAGAGGGTTAAGACAAAATGGAACTACAGAAGCAAAGATTACCGGCACCCTTTCCCCTCTCATACAAACTGTTCTCAGTTCAGCATGTCCACATAAAGGAGGAGAAAAGTAGGTGAGGGCAGGAAGCTGATGAACCGTTGATAAATGTAGCCGCTGTAGTTCACAGAATGCCTTTTTTCTCCCATCAGGTGCCTCAAACATCTCCACGAGATCTGAAAGAGGGTCCTATCTCCCCACCCCACCCCTCCTTCCTAACACACCACTCCTCACCCTGACCCCCATAGTTTATCTTTGCATATTGGAAAAACTGGCATTTATCAAGTAATCTACTCCTCATAGATTGTTAAACAGACCACAGGGGTTATCAGTGGGCCTGATATAGGAAGATAAACAGCAACTTCTTATGCAAATAGCACTAAGAATGTGGGGCTGGCCACAGGACAAAAGTGGAATCTAGGAGAACAAGAATCTTAAGACTTTTCCTCACCTCCAACTCTGGAAAGCCACAGGGGCTTGGTCAAGAGTCTCTGGGTGGATTTTCCCCTCCTTTTCTTACAGGGGGAGTCCCTAAGTTGTGCAAAAGGTTAACTCGCTGGGCTGCTAACTGAAAGGCTGGAGGTACAAGTGCACCCAGAGATGCCTCGGAAGAAAGGCCTGGAGATCGCTTCCAAAAATCAGCCACGGAAAACAGTTCTCCTCTGACACACATGGGGTGGCCACAAGTTGGAATCGACTTAACAGCAACTCGTTTCTTGCAGGGAGAGACAGGTGTGTCTGTAGGTCTGAACTTCTTTGTAAAAAGAGAGGCAGCTTCATGTCTAACTAATACAACTCCTTTCTCTGGCCAGAAGCCTCTCCTCCTCGCAACAGCATCTCCGGGATTTCAGACCTACTGACATGTCCTTTGTTCAGGTTTCTGAGGTGTAGGACTAACGGAGAGGCAAAGAAGAGTGTTCTCCAAGGTTGGGGGTGGGGGTCAGAGGGTGACAGGGGGAAAACAATCCACAGGAAACTAGGATGAGTTCTGAGATGCAATCCATGTCACCAGGAGGTGAAACCTGCTCGTGGGCTCTGTGCATCTGCCTTTGTGGGACAAGCAGTGACAGCAGCCTGGGGTCCAGGTGGCATCTTTTCAAACTCATCTTATTATTCTAAGGGAATACTCCCATAGAACCAAGAAGGGGTGAGTGGCTGCAAGTGACAAAAGAATTGCACACGGAGGGACAGAGCAAGATGCCTCTCACCCCAGGCTGCAGGCTGGGGAGGGGGGGTCTGGGAGGAGAATGACAGAACCCAGGGCTGCCCAGAATGAAAGACTGAATGGAATCGGCTAATTTACACAGGAAGTAAGCACTTACCAGACCCTTCATCCCAACATACAAAACCCTCTGCCATATCTGGAAGCAATTACACCCAGTTAACATGATCTGCTTGCCACTAAAATTAACTGCAAACAGAAATATTTTTCACTTTTGCAACAGAAGATGCCAAGGTTTGGCCTATTCCCCCCCCCCACCAATCCACCGCCCCCAATTGAATCTGGCTGCTGGAGAATATTTAGCAGCTACTCAGCTCAAAAAACAAAAACCACTCTTGGAGCTGTCAGGACACAAAAAAAGTAAAATAATGGATAATTATGAAGGGGGAGAGGAGGGAGGGAGGTGACAATGAAAACCGTTGTGCTAGAAATCGAGGAAAGGGGCCAGGCACACGGGCCCTAAATGGGTCTACATCGCTCACGAGTCCAGCCTGGATTTTCCGCACTGAACTTCAAGGAAAGCAAAACGTTTTTGGAGCCACTCGATTTAGCAGCCACTTCACATTGTTTTTGCGTACCATCTTCACGTCTGCTGCCAAAGGGGCGGGGGTGGGGGTATGCAGGGAGGTAGACTCACAAATGTTAGCGGATCCTTAATTTAGCAGAGCATTTAGGGGACAACTGTCACGATTTAACTTTTGCATCGAATGTTCCAGATCCCTATTCTACAAACGCCTTCAAAGCAGCTTTCACCTGCTCTAAGAGGGGCCAAAGCTGCTTTTTATTTGAGACGTGCACCCACTTTTCATGTAGAGGATGAAGAGGAGGCTAAGAGGAAGTGACAACTTGTCTCCTGTAAGTGTGTGTACCATAAATGAGCCAGGGTCCCATTCTTCAAAACTCCAGGCCCAGGTGCTTCAACTTACTGACCACGCTTGTCCCTTCTCTGTGCACCCAACCCCACGACAGGCGACGAACATATTTTTCTTTTTCCTTGAATTGCTGTCAACAATGCCATACATGCCAGAGGCAGACAGATTAGTTTTAAAGTTCCTAAAGGAGGCGTCATCTCTAACCTCTTCCCCCACCACCCCGTCTTTTCTGGGCAAGGCTCTGGTATACCTCCCCTGAAAGTACAGTTCATTCCTTTGTCACCAGGGGCCTTTAAAACAGCGGCAGCAGCAATAGCAGCAAAAGTAACGCGTCCATTTGCCAGACAATCACAAACATCTTTTCTCAAAAAGAGTCAGGCAAAAGTTTCCCTCAAGAATGAGGTCAAACGCTGCTGTTTTCTGCAGAAATCACACTTAGAAACATTTCTCGAAGAGGGGAAAAAAAGAGAAAAGAGACCACGTAAGTAGCTTTTCTTTAAAGATTTTGGGCTATGATGAGGAAAAACCAAGGTCTCAATATGTTAAAAGGAAAAAGGTACTATCCATTCTTTTTGATTTTTTAAAACATTTTTACTGTGAGAAAAATACTGAAGAAGCACACACGTCCTTTAAAATATTATAACCTAAGGACGGGCCAAGTGCTGGCATTTTATACACCATCTAACTTAGCAACACCATGACAACACTATGAAGTAGATATTATTGATCTCATCTCACATACAAGGAAGCGGAGTGGTTGGGAATCTCGCCCTACTCACAAAGCTTCTAAGGGTTAGAGGATGAATTCAAACCCAGGTCCAACTCCAGACCCAGTGCTTCCCACAATTCTGCCACCACCAACACAGACCGGCAGCAGAAAACGTAGAAGCTACAGAAACATAAAAAGAGAGAAAATTAACATCCCAAGAAATCCCACCTTCCAGAGACAACCGCTGGGGGCCTGTTGGGGTGTCTCCCTCCCCCTACTCCACACACACCTCTAGACACACACACACGCGCACACGCACAAACTGTTCAATCATGACGCAGCCGCCCAGGCATGGAAATGGTTAAGCTGCCCTCACTGAATAAATCAAAAGTTCAAGGCTGCAACATACCACAATGATTCCCTCTTTACGTATGACAAGAACCAGAGAGGGGCTGAAATCCCAAGCATCCTGCGCGGGGTCTCCCCGGCCCGCACAGGTTATGCCTCCAGGGTCAGGGCCTAGGACCTTTAGCGGCAACATTCATTTCCTGAACAGGACAAGTTCTCCTGACCATAAAGCTAATAGGAACTTCCTCGCATGGCGAGCTCCGGCTGACAGGGCTACTTGTCACTGGCCACGCAGGAGGAGAGCGCTGGTTCCCATTAGTGGGTTATGATGCCAGGTGCTACTAATAAGGTACATCGGCAAGAAACAAGAGCCTGCTAAGTTGCCTCTCCAACTCTGGAAGTAATCAAGCCTGGGCTTCGGGGTTGGGGAGGGGCTTTCCTTAAAGAGAGGGATGGGGGGAACGGGGTTTAACCACGGCAGACCCCGGCAGCACCTAAGCTGCTGAACAGCTTAAATAAATAAATTTCAAACAATCCCACTGCATTTCCCCCAGCTACCATAAAAGACTCCCCCAAATTAACAGTCATAATGTTTCCCCGAGCACTCCAGGTCTGACGGCTCACCCTGAGGGAAATTATGTTTGGCCACATCTGCTTCTCACTATGGCAGGGAAAGTTGTGCCAACAGACCTAATGGCATTAAGATCGAAACGTCTGGCTAATCCACTTAGAGACCATCGCAGGGCAAGGGTGGCAGTGCCCCCCCACCCCCCAAGCTCTAGGCCTCTAGGTCTAGATCTTGCCCGGTTGGGGTCCCAAGAGAAAGAGGAAAAAGAAAGGTGGCCCACAGATGTGTCCGTGCTGTGTGCTTTATCAGTTACCTTAAATTTAATCTTGAAGTTGAATACATTTAAAACCACATTGAGAGGTAGGGGCTAACCTCATTTCACAGAAGAGGGTCCTGGCAGTTGAGAGAGATGAAATCATTTGCCCACATTCACCGTGTTTAATGAGGTGCAGCATCAGGATTCAAACCCAGGTCTAGCTGACTTCCATCTTTGTGTTCTTGCTCTACATACCTTGTCTCCCAGAAAGACAATGTTTTGATGGTGCATTTATCTTGTTCTCAGTGTGCCTGGTGGTAATGGTTTGTCAGCACGTATATGTCTTTAAGAGGCACTGGTGGCTCAGTGGTAGAATTCTCGCCTCCTATGCGGGAGACCCTGGTTCAATTCCCGACCAATGCACTTTACGTGCAGACACTATCAGTCTGTCAGCGGAGGCTTGTGTGCTGCTCTGATGTTGAACAAGTCTCAGTTGAGTATGCAGACTAAGACAGAGTAGGAAGAAAGGCATGGTGATCTCCTTCTGAAAATCACCCAATAAAAACCCTATGGATCACTCACTGTCTGCTTTACAACCTTCACGGGGATGGCTTGGGACCAGGTGTTTGGTTCCATTGTGCATGGGGTCACCTGAGTCAGGGGCTGACTCAACAGCAACTAACAACAACTTATGTCTTTACTTATTATTTCTGGGAAACCTAAATGGCCCTGAGAGAGAGAACTCTAAACACCACCTCCAAATGGCCCTTAAATTTCTCCTCTTCATCAGAATTTCTGTGACTAACTTCTAATAACTTCCGTCAGTAATGCCGCACAGTTTCCGGAAGTTCTTTCTCACATCTAACTTTGGTTCTTCCTACTGCAGTGCTAAACACAATCTGTTCATGCTGAGGAAAATCAGGTCTCGAGGACAGGGCTGAAAGCAAGATATGAATTTAGACTTAGGCGGGTTTTTGCCAGTTTTCAGCCGAACTTTCCATGCTGACGTTCTGGATCCTCTCCTTGCAGCTGCAGAGATAAGCCTCACGTAGGCAAAACCCAATCGTTTTTTTCCAGACTGAGCCAGCATAATAAGGACACCGGGGCTTTTAAGGGGAAGCATAGAAAGGGGGAATTTCTGATTATGTGGGCATGAGATTAACAGGATGGAATTTTTATTTTTGTAAATGGGTTTCTTTTTCTCTCCCTTTTTCTTTTTTTGAATCAGCATAAAAGAACTACGTCCCTAGAAGCTGGTCTCTCTTGGGGCCAGGAGTAGTACTTTGGACCCAGTGGCCTCAGCCCCCGAAACCTCAACCCTTTGCAGTAAGCTGCACCCTCATTACCTCCCTCCTCTCATGCCAGAGAAGGAAGCAAGAAGCCAGAGCTGGCAAAGTGATGAGTGAGCCTCCTGGTCACCAGGCTGCAGGCAACACACAGCTGGTCCTTCCTGCATCCCCCAGTCCCTTATGTTTCCATCAGTGGTTTAAGATCCAAGCATAGCTGTTATGATGACGTGGAAAGAACAGTGACATGGAGCCAGAAGGCTTGGGCACAAACCTTAGCACTGCCCTTTACTGTTTAACCATGCACAAGTCGACTAACCTTTCAGGTTAGCTAACCCCTATCAGCGAATGCAAAACTAACATTCACCTCACAGGGCGGCTCGAAAGTTTAAGGAGATACTATGAATGCACTTAGCACAGAACCTGACAAGTATTAAGTTCTCAAAACGAAGTTTGCTGAATCTCCTCTTGGAAGCACCCTGGACTTGGGGGGGCCAAGAAAGGGAAGGAGTTCAGGAACGCCCAGCACCCACGAGCCCAGCCGCAAGACTTCCTTCAGTAAGGTGGTGTGTGTGCGCCTCATCTCTACCTCAACCATAGTGATTTGCATGCCCGGCCACTTGCATGGGCAATAGGACACTGCATCGGTGAACTGCCTCGGCATTTGGAACTAAGGACAGTGGTATGCTGCCCAGCTAAATTTAAACAAGAACTGGATGACTCACCAGGCCTCAGGTCAATGGGACAAAGAGTACCCTGGCCACCATGGTACAAGAGATCAGCTTCTCAGGAAAGATGGAGGCGCACATTGTGTAGCCACCTCAAACACACGGCGCCCGAGGCAGCAGTTTTTGCGGTAAGGTATGAATCCACGCTCTTTACTGAAGAATAGCCACTGGGGGAAAGCAGGGTTTGGACCGGCACAAATCCTGGCTGGCACTTAGCGGTCCACATAGTACCCTGCACTACTAGCATGACCTACTTCACAACGACCAAAAAAAAAAACAACAGCAAGCATGTAAGGAAGTAAGGAACACTTCTCTGGTGCAACCACTCCTTGCACTTTATAAATATTTACTGGCAGACATCTTGTAACAACCCAGGGACTAGCTACTGTTATGATTCTCATTTTACAGATGAGGAAACCAGGCACAGAGAGGTTAAGTAACGCAACCATAGTCCCACAGGAGGTAAATGGTGAAGCTGGGATTCTAACCCAGAATACTCTAATTTGCTCAAAATGCACAGATCCAGAAGGAATTGGGTGGTGGGGCACAGAGTGCCATGGGAAATTTTGTTTTCTACCAAAATAACCGCCATAGAGTCAAGGCTGTGTCTAGCACGGCTCACAGGGAATTTGACTAAGAAAACCTTCGGTTATCATGAAAAAGTCGGGTACCTCCAACAGGCAAAGTGAGGCACACTCGTATTTAATGAATAAAACTCAAGTTTTACACTTAGGCGCTTCAACTGGACTTCTTTTCAAGTCATTACTAAAACAAATAAACAAAACAACATTAAAGTGATTGGAAATGTTTTCCTCCTGAATTAGCAAGAAGTCAAAGAGCTGTGAATGGAGTTTGATTTTAACAGTTTAGTGTAATCACTATTTTAAAGATTCATAAATAGTTTTCCCAGAACAAGCAAGAGGAAGCTTAACTGTAGCTTTCCCCTCCCAGCAATTAGCGGCTCCGTCCAATCGCGACAGCAAATTAAAACTGGGCTTCTCACTGAGATGAAAGAGCAGGCAACCTTCCCCCATTGGAAACAAAATAAAAGAAGCCATCTTCAAAAGCTCCAAGAGTTTAGTCCGGATCCCAGATAGCTCAGTGACCCTAAGCAGGTTAGAGCATAAGAAAACCAAGACGGAATAGACAGGATCAAGTCAAACGGACTTCCTACTTAGTTGGTGAATTGCCTGCCCATCTAGATTCCAAAACAGGGTAAAAATTCAATTAGCCAAAAGGAATTCATGGAAGATATAAGTGGGTGCACAAGCGGTACAACAAGATTTTTTTTTTTTTTTTAAGAGTTCATCATTATCTAGAGACAGCTCACCCAAGTGCCTAATTTAAACTACAAATAAAGAAATTAAGGCTCAGAGTGAAAAAGGGACCGACTATGGTGACAGAGCTGCAAACTGCAGTGCTGGGCCTAAAGGCCCGGCCTCTACAACAGCTGGGTACAACATCACAAAGTCTTCTGCCATCTTCCTATCTTCACAACCAACGACCTCTCCAAAAGACCAGGAGATTTCCAGGATCCCAAGAGGTCATGAACTTAAGTTGTTTATTACCCCAAAAAGGATACTTCCTGGAAATAGACGCAGATTCAAAAAGGATTTGGACAAATCTGTGAATGACAGAGCAGCCCATAAATAGCTCCTAAGAAAAGCTGGGCTACACCTGACCTTTGGGATTGACGTCAAGGGAGATGGCCACAGCCTCCAACAGTGGTATCTTAGGGATGCTGTTGGAAACCAAAGACTAGGTCAGGTGGCTCTAACCCAGAACAGCAATGCCCATGTTCTTATATGGCCTGGTGCAGAGCACCCAAGAATGTGAATTAGAAGGTGAGCTGAGCCCCTGGCTCTCTACCCATTTATAGCTGTGTACCTTGGGCAAGTCACTTATTTGCTCCAAAGTTCATTTCCTCACCTGTAAAATGGAGCAGATAGTGGTCCATAATCCCTTATCCAAAATCCTCAGGTGCTTCAGAAATCAGAACGTTTCCGATTTGAGAAAGGTACTCTGGAACCTACAGTGTTTATTACGTAACAGCCCCAGCGGAGAGTAGGGCAGCACTCTGTAATCAAACACATTAATATTTTTGCAGCAAAACATATGAATATTCAAAATAAGTGGGATAAATATAGTCTCATGACAGTTGAGATCAGGTTTTGCCACTAAATGAGTCTACTGCGAACTCACGCAAAGCCTTTTAGTTTTGAGAGCTTTTCAGACTTCGTAACCGCAACTACTGGATTATAGACCTCCACCACCTTAGGGGAGGCTGTGAGGGTAAGGAAGATAAAATAATTAAAGGTAGCTTTGCAAAGGAGAAAGTGCTACATTGATAAAGGCATTATTAATATGATTGTTGTTGTTATCATTATTTTACAGCATACCCTCTTCCAAACAGAACTTGGTTTGAGATCCGAGGTGCCTAAAGCTGGCAGAAGGATGAAAGGAGATAGAGTTCAGGGCAACCTCCAGCCTCCCAAAATTGGACTAAACCAAGGTCAACAGCTGTTGGCCCTCTACATGGTCAACCTGAAGACAGAGCAGCCGGCCATCTGGGAGAGATGGAGGCAAAGGACCAGGCCGGACTCCAACATCTTAGCTCCATGGCATATGCACCCTAGAGCCAACCCCAAGAAGCCTCTGGGAGGGCTGCACGCACGGGTCCTGGGAGCTGTCTGAGACCATCCCTTGTGGCTCCTGAGTATCCCATCCCTTCAAGAACCAGGCAAGAGCTCCTACTGTGTCTCTGCACGATATACACTGTAGCTGGTCCAAGGACTTATCTGTATAACATCCAGAGGCTCCTGGGAAACCAAAACCCTACTCTGATTCTGTAGCACTAACTTCAGAAATATATTAAGGTGAGGCTGTATGAGCCTGGGGAGACTGAGGGGCTACAAACAAGGACTGTGTTCACACTGAAGAGAACGTATTTAACTCTGAGAATGATAAGGAGCACCTGGCCCAGCTAAGCTGGTCCCTAGACCATACCCATACAAGCCTGCCTGCAGAACTGCTCCAGCCTTTCAGAGAGCATGGGAAAGAAGAGAGACTGCACCCAGAGTAATGTGAGCCCACTGGGGAAGTTCTCCGGGTCCAGAGCTTCCTCCTTCACCTGCCTGGAGAACGTCGCTGATCTAGCAGGTCTCCTAACTGTTCTGACTTCCTTCTGGATCATTTAGATAATTAAGCCCCGTTTGATTTACCCAAGTGGTGTCTTTAGTCCTTCTATCAATCCGAGGCCACTTTTGACATTGCTTTTACATTTCGCCATCCACCACAGGGAGCATGATCACAATTTTACTGTTTCCTTCTATCTGTGGCGCCAATACGTTCCCTACCCACTCCACACCAGCTTGGGATCATGTCATGTGGAAACCTATTAATTCCAGAACAAACTCTCCTGCCTGCATCACTTCCTAGTACTGTCCCCTTCCTTCCTCTCCATGCCCATCCACCCACAAAAAAATAAAAGAATAACTACTGGGCATTTATCCCTTACCAACACTCTAGCCTACTGGCCTCTTTAAAAAGCAAAGATGTCACTTTGATGACCCAGGTGGACATGACCCAAGCCATGGTCTTTTCAATCACCTCATACGCATGTGAAAGTTGGATAATGAAAAAGGAAAATAGTTGCACAACGCAAAGAATTTAATCAGCGTCACTAAATGCCACATGTAGAAACTGTTGAACTGGTGTGTGTTTGCTATGTATATTCTCAACAACAACAACAAAGTAAGTAAAATTTAAAAAAAAAAAAAAAAGGAAGACAGAAGAATCAATGTGTTCAAACTGTGATGTTGGTGAAGGATACTGAATATTCCCTGAAGTGCCAAAAGAATGAACAAAGCAGTCTTAGAAGAAATTCAACCAGAACGTTCCTTAGAAGCAAGGATGGAGAGACTTCAACTTGCTTATTTTGGACACGTCATCAGGAAAAACCAATCGCTAGAAAAGGACATCACGTTTGGTAGAGAGCTAACAAAAACGAGGGGGACCCTCCATGAAGTGGATTGACACAATAGTCACAACAACAGACTCAAATAAACCAACGATCATGAAGATGGCGCAGGACCAGGCAACATTTGGTTCTGTTATACATAAGGTTGCCATGAGTTGGTGTCGACAGAACAGCTACTAACAACAAGAAGCCTATTGGCTTAAAAAAAAATTCCTATAGCCCATTACTTCATCATGTTATATTTACAGCCAATTCCACAGTCTCCTAACATCAAAATCTCCCACTCTGAATTTTGACTTGTCTTTTTGTTTGTATGGTAGTAGTGCTGTGTTCTCCTTCCACCCAAGCATTTTCTGGATGGCGGTGGGATTGGGGTGGGGTTAGGGGGTGAGTGAGAAGAGTACTAAATAAAAAAGTAGTACGTCGATCCTGGAGCTTTGAGGGTGAGAAAGAGGGAGAAAAACTTCCCACAAAGTCTACAGGAGCAAAGAGGCTGCCTTCAGAGTAAGGGCTGGGCACACACACGAACATTTTCTCCCCTTTTTGGTTGGTGCAAATGGTTAATAAGCTCAGCTGCAAACCAAAAAGTTGGAGGTTTGAGTCAGGTTTGAGTTCAAGCCTCGGGAGAAATTCCTGAAAACCTACTTGCAGAAAATCAGCCATTGAAAACCCTATGGAGCACAGTTCTACTATGACACACACGGGGCTGCCATGAGTCGGCATTGACCCTACAGCAACCGGTTTTTGGATCTTCTGGGGTTTCTTTAGACCCCCACAGCTTTCCACTGAAGGCACCACCCCGGCTGTACCTTCTTGGACTAGAGCAGGTTACTTGCCGTCCTGAGTCAGAAGCACATTCTCCCTGTCAGCAGCACACAGCTTGACACCAAGGGTCCCAGGACCGTCACCCACCATTGCAAGCTCAGGTGAACAGAGCATTCTCTGTGCCATCTCACAGCCAACACAACCCTAGTAGGAGGTAGTGCTTAGGACACTACCCACTAGAACTCAGAGCCAACAGGGACACTGCACAGACGAGACCTAAACAAGATGGAGGGTCAGAGGTCAATTCTTCACCTTCACGGTTACCATGTGCCCATCACAGCTCTAATGACTTCTAGATGTCATTCCGCTAATTCCACACCACACCTGTTGATCAACTCCATTTTAAAAAGTGAACAAAACAAGGCTCAGAAAGTTTACATAACTCTCACAAGCTCTCACCACTAGATGTGGCTAATACCATCGCATATGCTCTTTGTGATGTAACACGGACAACCCTCCATCTCTCCCCAGAGGCATGAGGGTCCCACAGAATGGGAACATGGAACTCCTGAGAGAGTGATTTCTGTTGTGGCCCTCTTGAGTTAAGAGAAGCAATCAGAGCCTAACAAGATCCAGAAAAAAAAAATTACTTTCCACCATCCTCTATTTCTCACAGCACAAAAGTGAAATAATTCACATCCGGAGATGATGATACATCTATCTGGTCAAGTCTGGGGAGGGGGTTTCCTCTTTAGGAAAGTTTGAGCAAAAACAAACATAACCTCTTTCTATTTCTGAGTGGTGCAAGCATCAAGAAGACACGACTTGACAGCGGTTATTTTTCGCACCAACCAGAAAGAAAGAAAAAAAGCCACATTTAGCTTAGCGACACTTTTCACAGGCCCACCTATTAGGACTAAGTTGCCCTTGACCCAAGCCATGGTATTTTCAATCATCTCATATGCATGCAAAAGCTAGACAATGAGTAAGGAAGACCAAAGAGGAGCGGATGTCTTTGAATTATGGAGTTGGAGAAGAATAATGAATACACCACGGACTGCCCAAATCTGTCTTGGAAGAAGTACAGCCAGAATGCAGAATGCTCCTTAGAAGAGAGTTTGGTGAGACTTCGTCTCACGTACTTTGGACATGTTATCAGGAGGGATCAGTCCCTAGACAAGGACATCATACTTGGTAAAGTAACAGGTCAGCGAAAAAGAGGAAGACCCTCAACTGGACTGACACAGTGGCTGCAACGATGGGCTCAAACATAGCAATGATTGTGAGGATGGCGCAGGACCAGGCAGCATTTCATTCTGTTGTACACAGGGTCACGATGAGTTGGAATCCACTTGATGGCACCTAACAACAACGATCCATTAGGCAGTATAGGAGCTGGTTTTGGCTCAGGGCGATTAGATGGACTTCTAAAGGCCTCCACCCAACACCATCTCACTCACAACTCCCCCCCACCCCATACACACTTGCCTGAGCAACAGAAAACAGAGGTGGAGAGAAAGGGATACAAAAGTGGGGAATCTAGCCAGATCAGCAGATAGCAGGCAAGAGGGTGTGCAGGAAAATGCTGCATTGGTGACAACAGAAAATTGAGTTTCTTTAAACCATTAATCTGACCCAGGGACTAGAAAGTAAAATGACGGACATATGGTTATGGAAAATGAATGATAAAACCAAACCCATTACTGATTCCCTCCTAGTGAGCTTCTAGTGAGCAATGCTCAGAATACTCTGTTCTGTAGGCATGATCCTCTTCAGGATTGAGTGACTCCAACAGGCAGCAAAGTACACGGGATTCAGACCTGAATCTGAGTCCAGCTCTGCCTCTCACTCACTGTGTGACCCTGGGAAAGGTCCTTTACATCTGACTCTTAGAACCTTCCTATGGACAAGAAGAACATTACCTACCTCAGGGCTGTTGTAATGAAAATGCAACTCCATGTAAAGCATTTAGCATGAACCAGGCACATTATAAGAGTTCAGTAAATGTTTATTTCACAGAGAAAGAAACAGAAGCCAGAGGGAAGCCAATGTTAACCCAAAGTAGCATTAAATTCAGCATGGGCAGGGATGCGATAATAACAAGGCTCTGCAGGCTGCGAGACCAAGTCTCATATACCCATCTTTCGCCCTTGAATTTAAACCAGCTCCTCCTAAACATGTTAGCAGGTACAGAGAAGAAGAAGAAAGAAGAAGCAACAAGACGAACATTCACCAGGAATGATGCTCGGAACCTGCAGCTGCTCTTGCGGCCTAAGCAGCCTCCGTGCCTCCCATCCTCCTATTTGCAGGGTCCTGAGCTGCAGAGAGAGCCTGCCTTTGCAGAACCATGGGATGTGGGGGGGCAAGTACCTGAAACCTGGAACCATGCTGATTCCATGTCCAGATCCAGGCCATGAACGACCCTCATCCTGAATCCCACTTCCCTCCCTCCACTCTCTCAGTCATGCTAGGTAAAAAAGAACAAACCAACTACCAGGGTTTAAAAAAAAACACAAAAAAACAGGGGCCAAAGCAAAAGAAGAGGAAAGAGCCTGATAAAAAGTTGAGTTCTTACCCAGTGCTTGAGAAAGACCCTAGGGCCCCTCATCCCACTGTTTGTTGTTTTACAACCAGCAAGGAGGACAGGGTAGCCAGGCCCCAGGGCTTGGGAATAGCCAGGGTATGAAGGCAGGGTGTTAGGGTAGAAAGGTGAGTGGCAGGTGTGGGACTTGTGAGGGGCCTACCTGTGCTGCTCCACAGCCTCGTTATCAGGAAGCTCGACCCCACACACGCTGCACTGCTCGCCCATGGCTCGGCTCTCCGACTTCATGCCTACAGCCAGCTCGCCCAGCTTGCTGAACAGCTCTCTCTGGATGAAGCCCTGGGGCAGCAGCCCCCCATAGGTGCTGAAGTCCATGGAGACAGCCAGGGTAGGCTGCACGTGGAGCCCAGAGGTCACTGAGGATGGCATGCTCAACACTGCATCAGCCTTGTGGTTGGGCAACACGGAGTAGATGCCCAGATGTTTCTCAGCTGGGGGTCCAGGGTGCTCTGGTCGGCCAAGGGGGCCCTGGCCAGCCTCAGCTGAAGGCGGCAGCTGTTCAGCACTCTCCTCTCGCCCGTAGTGCAGCTCCCTGGCACTAGTAATGACACTGCTCCGAGTCGGGGTCCCAGGCCCCTCTTTGACCCTTTCCTCGGTCTTGTCCCCTATCCCACCTGAGATGCTAGACTCGGCTGCCCCAGGGCTGTCCTGGCTGGGCACCTCATCCACCTGCATCATCTCCGTCTTCACCTCGGCCACCCCAGGGTGCCGCCCACCCCCAGCCAGAGTCGGGTCATCAGGTCCTGCAGGAGGCTGGACAGTTCCCTGCAGGAGAGACTGTCCTATGGTCATCAAACTGTCCACTGCAGCTTTGGTGGGGCTCAAGGCCGAAAGACCAAAGGAGGTGGAGACTGAAGGGCTCTGGTCCACCATGGGCCCAGGGAGGCTCTGCCCAGCCACACTGGCATACCCACTCTCCTCGCTGGAATGCTTCGAGATGAAGATGTTCTTGAGATACCGAGCCTTGCGGTCCTCTTCTTCCTCAGCCCCGCCATCCGCCATGGTAGCCTCGTTGTCGTTGTCATCTGAGGCCTGGATGGTCTCCAGGATCTTCAGGCACTGCTCCTCCAGATACTCTATCTCTAGGATCTCGGCTGCATACAGCAGGTCATCCAGGTCCTCCGCCTTGGCTTGCAGCGTGGCCGTGTATGCATATTCCAGAATCTGCTGGAAGGTCTTTGGCGAGAGGAAGTCCAGAGTATAGTGCTGGCTATTGCGGTGGAAGAGGATCTCAAACATCTTGCTGGTGCAGGCCAGCACCGTCCGGTGGGCATGAAACTCCTGGCTGTCCACCATGATGACCACATCACACAGGGTCCCGGCCAGTCGCATCTGGTTGGCCTTGCACAGAAGCCCTGTGGGGTGGCTGGGGTTCTGCAGCTGGATCATGCCCATCTTCGTCAGATCCATGGTGCTCCCTGCGGCTCAGGCATGAGGCTCTCTTTCCTTCTGGGCTCTGCGTGGCGGGACAGGGTAGGTTTCCGGGGCCAACTAAATGGACTAGAGAAGAGAGGAAGAGGCAAAAGATGAGAGAGCGAAAGGCCGATTAGTTACTGTCCCTGAAAGTAAGAATTCAAACAGTACAACAACACCCCGCCCCTAAGATTTTAACGGAGGGGAGGAGGCATTCTAGAAATCTCCAAATCTGCCTTTACAAGCCCAGGGATGATGAGAAGAGTATTATTCCACCAGTAACATGGTGAAGGTTCTGCCACACCATATGTCTAATTCACTGCTCTATGACAACTGTTATTTCAAGTGAAATGAAAATTTACAGCAGAGTCCTGTGAAACCTGGGCTTTCTCTAAGTCTGAGAGTGGGGGGCATCTACGCATGGCCAACACTCATTATGGGGAAGTACCCTGCACTTACTTAAAATTAACAAAGACTTAACCCCTTCCTTTAGTCATCTGAAGCACTCAACTTCACTCTCAGGCCCCTGTATAGCCAACCTTACCTTTAAAACAAAGCTTTTCTAAACCCTGCCATGCTGTGGTAGCTCCAGGAGCAAAGCCAAGCCCGGCTGAGGCTACCAGCCAGCAGCCCTCGCCCACACAAATCTATGGGCAACCGGGCTCTCCTCCTTCAGGCACATCCTCTCAACATCAGCCAGTGCCTTCCCATGCCGAACCTCTCAGCCAGTCCTTCCCTCTACCCAGGGCTGCAAAAAACTAGAAGACCCTCATCCTGGCCTCTTCCTCAGGCACTAACAGGGACACACATGCACATAACCCACATTAGTTTGTCACTAGTTTGGGTCACTTCCACCCACTTTGCTGTTGTGTGCTGTCAAGTCGATTTTAACTCATAGCAACCCTATCAGAGAGAGTAGAACTGCCTCATAGGGTTTCAGAGGGTTTCCTAGGCTGTAATCTTTACAGGAGCAAATCACCAGCCTTCTCTCCTGTGGTTCGAACTGCCGACCTTTCGGTCAGCAGCCAAGCGTTTTAGCTACTGTGCCACCAGGGCTCCTTCTTCCACCCACAATTTCCTTAAAGTTATGGGTTATGGCGTATGTGACCCAAAATATGTGTGCGTGTGCACATGTCGGTGCAAGTGAATGCATGCGCACACACTTATGTAAAACGCTGCACGCATCCCCTGCCCACAAGTGTCCAGCAGACAGGAGGATCTAAAAAAAGAAGAGCGATGGGTCAGGAAGGCAAGTAGCGAAATCATGAGAAATATGCATCCCAGAGCCAAGAGTATACATGCTGTGTGGGTGAACTGCAAGTGTGCCCCACAGGCTCCCAGGAGCGGGCAAGTCCTGATACTTGGACACGGCTGGGAGGCACCAGAAGTGATAGTGGTACCAGCATCCACCCGGAAGGAGCAATCAGAAAAGGAAGACAGGGCTGGGAGACAAAGGCTTCTCCCAGAGCGCTGTTCAGGATCAGTAACAGGGCTCTGGGACTCCTGAACCCGTGTTAGGAGTGTTAAGAAGACCTCACATGCCTGGGTCTCTCCCAGCCTCTGCCTTACTGGAGCCAATATTGCAGTGAACGAACTGGGAGCAAAGCCGAGCAATGTCTCTACCTCACTCTGAGAAAGCTGCTTGCCTCCGCCAAGCAAAAAAAGGCCGGTTGGCTCCCAAGCCACAAAGCTTACTTAGAAAGGGTTAATAGGGCGGCTAGTCAAGACACTTTTGCTGCCAACATGGGGTGGGGAATGAGGCTTTCAATGGTAGGACGGCCATTCGTCTGCGCCTAGCCATCCGTGGGCTTTCCTCAGACTCCAGGATTTTGGAGAACTAAGAAGGAGCAACCAAAAGAATGGAAGCTTGGCTACCCAAATTCCCTCCCAAAAGCAAGCTCCTTGAGTCCCGAAAGAAATAAGGGCGGCCCTGGGTCTGACGTCTCCCTCACTTGCCGCCCCGCGCCCCGCGATCTGGCCGGCGCTGTCTGCAGCGCCTAGACCGGCGGCGCGGGGAAAAACCGGCTCTCGCCCGCTCAAGCCCCGGGGATCGATCGCGCTCTCATACACAGCCAGCTCCCAGCGCCCCCACGGCGACTTGGAGACGACTTCAGCAAACTTGGGGAATCAACTTTTCCTGGGGAGCCAGACACCACAAAGAAAGAGGGGCGAGTGAGAAGGAAAAGCGAAAGAGACCAGGACGAAAGGCGAGAGTCCGGGCGGGTTGGACGCGCGGCGAGAGCAGCGAGGAGGCGGACCCGCCCCGAGGCGACGGGAAAGCACAAAAGCCCCGCAGCGAGTTGTGGGAGGAAAGCCGAGAAGGGGTCTGCGGGCCCTCCCTCTCCGACCCCGGGCCGTGACCCCGGGGGAGCGATGGGCCGGGTCCCGGGGCTCGAGCTAGCGACGCCTGGAGCCGGCGTGCACCGCCTGGGCTTGTCCGAGCGTCCCGGGGAGCGGGCGAGCGTGTCGTGCGGAGCGCGTCTGTGCGTTCAAGTGGGTCCGCAGGCCGGCGGGATCGTGCGCCTTCCGAGCGCTCGAGAGTCGCTACGTGCCTGACTGCCTGCGGGTAAGGGAGTGAGTGTTCGAGAAGCTGTGCGAGCGAGCCGCGGAGCGCGAGGATGAGGAAGGCATCCCGAACGCATCAGGTGCAGAGCTGAGGAGCCCACCGAGCGCGGCCAGGAGCGCACGGCGAGCTCCGGCGCCACGGCCGGTCCCGCTGAGAGCCGAGGAGGGCCCGGAGTCCTGGAGACCCTACGGAGCTCCGGCACGGCTGCCCCCTAAAAAGGAGTATCGCGTCCAATCAAGAAAAAGAGCCCACCACGTTTCTCAAAGAGAAACAAAACCCAAGCGCGTCCCAGTCCTAGTCCCCTCCGCCCCAGATCCACTCCTCGAGTCCTCGGATCCTAGCTTCCCCGCAAGCCGGCGATTAAACACACAAATAAACCACAATCCGATATCGCGCCCGCGCACCCGTCCGCATACATACGAGCGCCCACCGGCTCCCAGCTCCAGCGCCTGCCCCCGGCAGTACAAGGCCTCCCGATCCCCAACCCTCCGTCGCGCCCTCAGTCCCGGCAGACCGCGCGGCCCCCCACCTCTCACCCCGACCGTGCCCAGGATGAGAGGGGCTGGGGAGGCAGCTGCGCCCAAGCTGACAGACAGGGCTGCCCCTTCTAGCAGACCCCCAGCCGGCGGCGGCGACGGCAGCAGCAGCAAGAAGGAGGAAAGCCGAATAAAATAAGACACGAGCCCAGTGGCCGAGTGGCCGAAGCGAGCGCGCCCCCCCAGACCTCTCCAGCCCCGGGCGCCGTGGCGCGCGGCGATCGCGGGGCGGGGCGCCCCTCCCCGGCCCCCCACTCACCGCTGCCGAGTCGGGCGCTGTGGGGTGGGTGTGCGTGCCTGTGGGGGGTGTGTGCTGTGTCTGGGAGGGCTGTTGCTGGGAACTGTTGCTCTCGGTATCACGGCGGCGGCGGCGGCATCGCCCGGCAGTTCGCAGTACCCGCTCTCATCGCCCTCAACTCCTGTCTGCTGCGAGGTTAGCAAATCACCACCGGCAGCGGCGCCTCCGCCGCGTCCCACGTCAACGCCGAGCCCCCTCCCCTGCGAGGCCCCGGCGCCTCTCCATCTTTAGTGCTGGCGGCCGAGCCCGGCTCCCTGCCCACAGCTGCCCCCCTTCCTTCCCCCCTCCCGCGCCGGCCCCTGCTCAGCCCGCCCACCCCCCCGCACTGGCCGAGACGGCGCGCACTCCCCGCCCCACCCCTCCCTCCCCTCCCTTCCCGGCGCTCCGCGCTCCGGGCTTCGCCTGACATCTAGCTGCTGCTGGGGCGCCGGCGGCCGCCGCTTGCCGGCCGAGCCGAGAGCAAAGAAGGGGCGCGTGGAGAGGAGTACAAGGACTCGGAACCTTTATGGGGGCAATGAGGGTGCGGGGTGAGGAGCAGCCCCCACCAGGGACGGATTACCCAATAAGCAAGGTACGCATGGGCTTGTGTTTATTTACTAATTTGTAGTTCACAACTTCACACCGAAACCCAGGTGAAATTGCACTACAGATTAGTAAGTAAACACAATTAAGCCCCTGCGTACCTCGCTTACTGGTTAATCCGCCCCTGTGCAACCCCCAGGTTTTTAATTTCTACCGAACACGGATTTTATTTTCCCGTGGTGCTTCAGGCGCGGAGTTTTGTCCCCCGTTCCAGTGTTTGCCCCAATTCCGTGCGTGACACCTTGCCTTTCACTTTTTCCCTGGACTCGGGGCTGCATCCCTGTATCCTAGACATCGGTTTTAAAAGCTGGCTTTCCCAGCCCAAGCCTCCCAGGCCTCCCGCCTGCAGCGCGCCTCGGGGGCAGTGTGCAATGGATCGAGTGAAGCTCACGGTCTCAAGGTTCGCAGTCCTTGATGAACCAGGTGCGAGAGGATTCGCGGGGATCTATCGTCAAGGGGAGATGCCCTATTTTAGCTGTCGCCATTCTAAGAGACTGAGGTAGAGGCCTGAGAGAAACTTTTCTCTTTTCCAGTCTTGAGCATCCATTCAGCTCTGCCCCCAGGAACCTGGTCGAGAAACAGCTCCCGGACAACTGCGCCTTACCAGCGCAAAGTCCTCAAGGGGCGGTGGGGGCTTGGAGAAGCTCTGGTCCCCTCAAAAGTCCCTCCTCCTCGCAGCTGGCCGCCCGACTTTAGAGGGTAGAGTTGAGATCTCTAACCCCGGAGTAGAGCAACCAGAGGAAATACGTCCTTACTCAGGCGGCGGAGAGCGCCCCTCTCACCTTTTCCAGGAACTGGGCGAAGGTAAGGGGCGTAACGCGCGAAACACTCCTACGGGCGCAGACTATCGCGGCGATTTACATCCAGGAGCCTTAGAGTGGGGGTGGTGGCAGGAGAGCGCCATCAAGGGGTCTCCGGACACTCAGGCTTGGAGATCATGCTGTCTTAGCAACGCGGGGCTTCAGTCAGAGTCCTGGGACCCCATGTGCGGTTTGCCGCAGGACTCACGTATAATCGCATCCCTACGCGTGCCTCTGGCAACTGCCCCCGAACGAGAGTCAGGCCCGAAGAGCTACAGGGTAGTGGAAGGTGGCAGAAGCCGCCGACTAGAGGCAAAAATCCGCATCGGGCCCGTGAAGGCCAGGCAGCGGAGTTTACAGATCTGATCTGATGCGTGTTCTTGAGAACTGTTAATGGGGTGATCCCAAGGACAGATCATTCCATCCCAGCAAGCGTCTCTCCTGTCTCCTACTCGCAGGGAAAGTGTTCAGACCTGCAGGATTAGGACTCAAACTCAGCCAGTTGGTGGAGCGAACGCGCGCAGGGTAGCCAACTTGGGAATGCAGGAAGGGAGCCGGTTGTTCTCTGATAATATTACAGCAACATCAAACCAATGTACAGAATAGCCCAGCCCGCGGACATTCATTCTGATAAAGAACAGTCCCTATGTAGAGATTACCTATTTTTCCAGCTGTGGTCTGCCCACGCTGTAAGAGGAAGAGGATTTAAAGGAAGTTAAGAAAGAAATGGTCTGTAAGGAGAGCAAGTGGGGAGGGAAGTGAAGGAGAGAAGACCCTCCTAATGCCTCACTGGAGCCCTAGTGGCGCAGTAGTCAAGATCCCGGCTGCTAACCAAAAGGTCAGCAGTTTGAATCCACCAGCCGCTCCTTGGAAACCCTATGGGGAAGTTCTACCCTGTCCTATAGGGTCGCTATGGATGGCAGCTGGTTTGGTTCTTGGTATAATGCCTCACTAGAGAAATAGACGTAAGAATCATTAAACTTGTTGGCACCTAGACAGTGCCACTGAACGGGGCTGCCTGGCTGTCCACATCCACCAGCCAGCCTTCCTCCGGGGTGCAATAGCAGGAGAAGCACACAGCCCCTGGTCCTAATCTATTAATCCTCAAATCAGAAAGAGAATCTCTGGAAACAATGGGAGAGAAAGAACAATCCCTCCTCAGCACTGGACTCCCCCCGCCCCCACCCCAGTGCCCTATCCACTGTACGTGAAAATCTCCCTTGCTTCGCAAACTCTGCCCATTAAAAAGCCCAGCCCTTGTTAGTAAGTGTTGAAGAGAGATTAATGCCTGAATTTAAGAGGTGGAGAAGGTAACAAAAAGGAAGGCAGGCGAGGCTGTGGGCTGGGTGCCAGCTGAATGCTGGCTGCACAGCAGTTTGATAAGGTTTATTGGGCCCAGATAAAGCAGCAGCAGCTCCCCTACCAAAATTGGCACCATTTATAGCCAGAGCTCTGTGCTTGGGTCCTGGGAAGGCTGATGAGAATCCCCAGTTCAGAGATTTCATATGGCAGCACCTAAAACCAAACAGGATGGAAAATTACAACAGAGAACTGTCTCTTTTTTTGTGAATGTCCATGTATTTGTGCTACTTTTTTTTTTCTTTTTCTTTTTTTTGTTTTTTTTTTACTTTTTTGCTTTGAGGGTGTGGTAGGGGAAGCTGGGACATCAGTTCTGGAGAGTCATCAAAACAGGAGAGACCTCAGTTCCCTGGGGAGGTTAAGCTGGAGACAGGGGAATAGATGAGTTGGCCCCTGGATGGAATTCCATTGCTGAATCTTATTCCCTCATCTCCTCCTTTACCCATACACCTCCACGGGGGCAGCTTTCAGAGCTCAATTTGTGGAAGGCGTATAGAACAAGTCTATAGAACAAGTCTAAGAGAATTCTTTTATACTTCTAATAGGTCATAAAAGAAATGGACAGTGGGAATAAGAACTCATTCTGAGCACTGATTATGAATCCAAACACATCACCTGTATTGTTTAATTAAATTTTCGTAACGGCCCTCATAATGCAGCTATTACTATTATCCAAGGAGCCCAGGTGGCACAATGGTTAAGCGCTTGCCTACAAACCATAATGTTGGCAGTTTGAACCCACTCAGCAGCTCCATGGGAGAAAAGAACTGGTGATCTTCTCCCACAAAGATTGTAACGATTATAGCCTGGAAAGCCCTATGGGGCAGTTCTACATAGTTCATACACTGGGTTGCTATGAGTCAAAAATAGACTTGACAGCACCTAACATCAACAGCTATTATCCCCATTTCTGCGGATGAGAAAACTGAGGCTCAGAGAAGTTAACTGCCTTACCCAAGACAGTCGAGCTATTAAATCTCAGAGCTGAGACTTTCAATCAGACCATCCTGACTGCAAAGCTCATGCTCTCTCTTAACTTGTCTATAAAACAACTTCTACTGAGATAGACAAATTCAAAGTAAAACGAGAGTTTTTAATTTTACATCTCTTCCTTCTCCACTGAGGCCAAGATCTGTGCAACAGCCAGCCAAGCTGAGGATCAGGCAGTTCTCCATTGAATCAGGCCACCAGGTAAATAGAATCAGATCTCCTAAGACCTGGGCGTTTTCCCTCCTTCCCCAAAATCTCAGGCAGAAGTTGGGGGAGAGAGTTTTGAATTACAATAAAACTTCAACCAAACAGGTGCCCAGGAAGAAGGCTGTAAGAGGTGTTTTGAGTAGTCTGATTGAGTGTTGATGGAATCTTGTAAGTCTTATTGTTCCCAGCTCCTCAGTTTGAAAATATTTTTTAAATATAAAAATAAACTTTCCTATCATGAGAAAGGAGCCCTGTGGTGCAGTGGTTAAGAGCTATGGTGAACTATGGCTGCTAACCGAAAAGGTCAGCAGTTCGAATCCAGCAGCCACACCTTGGAAACCCTATGGGGCAGTTCTGTTCTGTCCTATAGGGACGTTATGAGTTGGAATTGACTCCACTGCAATGGGTTTTAATGGGTACCATGATAAATAAACCGAGGACTCATCCCTTTTGGGAAAAAGCTACTTTGCATTTCCCTAAAACTTTGTGATGAGTGAGGTATGAGGCATTTTCAGGGAGGGACAGTCAGTGAAGACCCTGAGTGGAAAAAAAGTAGTATTCTCCCCAACTGAGAACTCCAGGTTGCCACTGGGGGGATACACCAGAGATAGGTAAGGCTGTCACATCTGCTTGAAGATCTTTACTCCGCTAGGGACTCTGGGGAGAAAACACAGAAAGACCATTGTATCCTTTTCTAGAGAAAAAGGATTTTACAATGCTTCAGCGTCGTCACTCCGGACATCTACGATACAGATGCAGATTGTCTTAGTTTTCTGTTTTTTGTTGTCAAGTCAATTCCGACTCAAGCCGATCCCATGTGTGCAGTGTAGAGCTACTTACTCCATAGGGCTTTCAAGGTTGTGACTTTCCGAAGAAGATTGCCAGGACTGTCTTCCAGAGTGCCTCTGGGTAGGTTCAGACCACAAACTTTTCAGCTAGTAGTCGAGGGCTTAACCGTTTGCGGCACCCAGGGACTCCTCTTAGTCTCCTATGGCTGCCATGACAAAATACCACCAAGTGGGTGGCTTTAAAGAACAGAAATTTATTTTCCCACAGTTCTGGAGGCTCAAGGTCCAAATCAGAGTCTCAGCCATGTGGACTCCTTCTGTGAGCCTCTCACCTAACTTCTGGTGGCTGCTGCAGTCCCATGGGTTCTCTGGCTACGTTATAGATGCATCTGCCTTTGTCGTCACGTGATGTCTCTCTTCCCCCTGTGTGTCAGACTCCCTTTTTCTAAAACAACACTCAGAAGGAACCTGGACTAGGACTCACCCTACTCTAGTATGACCTCG